GTTAAAGTTTTATCTTTAAACAGTTTTAATTAATTAATGGATTTTTATTTATATATATTTATATATATATATATATATATATATATATATATATATATATATATATATATATATATATATATATATATATATATATATATATATATATATATATATATATATATATATATATATATATATATATATATATATATATATATATATATACTTTTTTATTTATATGTATTAGCTTTTTTTTTTTTTTATAAATATATTAAATATACGGTGGCATTATTGTCAGAACTACAAAACTTTATTTTTTTTTTTAATATTTTTGATATCTACAGAAAAAAAGCATAATGAGTTTAAAACATAAGGAACTTTAATAAAAACTAAGGAAGTTAGCTTGGACTTTAAATATTTGCCAAGACTGAGGAGGCTGTAGCCACAGGCCTACCACACTAAATAGGCTCATCGAAAAATAAGAAAAAAATAATTTTAAAATATAGGTCTACCCCTAAAAAAAAATTTCAAAAAATAAAAAAGCGCATCTCAAAAACTTCGAGAAGGCAAAAAACATCATTTTGTCAATAATTGGATAATTAAATCCGTTTCAGCAGCCTTACATTCTATACTGTTAACAGTTTCTAAATTAAAAATCAAGATACTGTAAAAATTGTTTATCTATTGGATGTGTAACTATCGGAAACTAAACTATTTAGAAACTGCAACAATATATTTTACTTAATTTCACCAAGTTTTTGACTAAATCAAATATTGGACTTCGTACAAGTAGCACAATTGCAACTGAAACTTGTCAAACTGACAATCATGACCAAGCAATAGGTATGGAGATATTAGATAACTTGGCAGTAAATATAAATCATGATAAGAATTTCAAGACGAACTAGTTCTAGTAGAAGGTCTTGTAGAAGAGATTAAAGTAGAAATGCAATGTGATAAACTTGTAAACATGTAGAAACAAAATTTCCTGATGATGTAGGAATGAAAAAAATTTCTAATTATTTGTGCGATAACTTCTGTTTTGAAGAAGTTGCTAATTATTAACACATTGAGAGCAATTTTAACACGTCAGTAGATGTATTTCCAGGTGTTTTTCAAAATCATAGTTTTTTCGAAAGCAATTGAACAGTGAGAAAGTTCAGCGTGATTGGCTTTGTTATTCTCCAAAGACTGTACTATTTTTAAATTTTTTCACAAAAACCTAAGAAATATCGTTGTTAGATGTTAGTGGTTATTACAATTTAAAGAATGCAGTAATGGATTAGGTTGGCATGACGTCAGTACTTTGCATAGAATTAGTATTGAAAAAGTAATTTCTATAAAAACTGCAGGAAAGAAAATAGGTAAAAGTCTATTAAAACTATACTTGTAAGTCTGAAAAGAATTATTGATGTCAACTTTTCAAACGGGTTTTAAGTGTAATCAAATTATTGTCGTTGAGAGTACTTGCTTTTTGTGAAAATGATGATTGTTGGATCTATGGCAATTAGTTAGGATGTTTGGAGTTACTTTCATAGTATGATCAATTTCTTGGAGAACATATGCAACAACGTGCTAACAAAAGTAGAGGACTCATATCATAATTGGTTATCAACAGTTTGTGGTGAAATTATATTAATTATAAATAATCAGTTAATGAGCCAGCTTATTTAAAAAACAAAAGATGCAAAATACTACTTTGTCTCAGTAGACTCAAACCCGGGTGTTTTCGCATTCAGTTGCTATTAGATATTGAATTATCAATGTTAACACATTGATAATTCAATATATAATAGCAATCGGATCATTTAAACGCTTTACAAAACTTATTCCTATATATGAGCATACTGGTAAGAGCTGGGCAAAAATAATCTTTGCACTTTTAGAAGAAAAGGACATAAGCATTAAAAACTGTAGATGGCAATTGTTAGATTATATATAAAATATGAGTGAAAAATATAATGGTATGCAAGCTAAGATTCGCAAAGAAAACAGTTTAGCTTAATGCATCTCATGTTGTGGGCATTCTCTATACCTTGTTTGTCAAAATGCTGTTGGCAGCAATCAAGTTCCACTTTATTTTTCTTTGATTTTGTTCAAAAAATATTTGAGTTTTTCTCTGCTTAAACACTCCAATGGAATTTACTTTTAACTGGCTTTACAAAATTACTTTACGTTTACCAAAATTGAAACGACTTTTGAATTCGTGTTTGTCTGCTCATTACAATGCAATTGATGTACTGCAGAAAGGCTGCAAAATAATTCAAAATAATTCATCAGATGATGCTGATGCCGGATTAACGCCTTTGGACAAGTTTGAAATACAATATTTCTTTAAATTATTGAGAAGCTATTATCAGTCTTGAATCAGAGAATCTCCGCATACAGTGTTATTGATGATAAATTTGGTTTTTTGCCTGAAGGAAATTCTTTACCATTTTATGATTTGCAACTCAAACCCGCGCATTTACTGGCAACATTCTATGAAGACCTTGTGTATCAGTAATCAGATGAAATTCTTTAATGTGTTGCTTTGTTCAAACAGTTTAACAAAAATATCAAATCAACTGAAAAAAAAAATTGTATAAGCAAATATAGAGAGTTGCAGATGTTTATATTAATTGGTAAGACCAGGTTCGTAGCGGCTTTTCGAAATTTTTCGATTGCACTACGCATATATCTTTGTTCAACAGTAGGCAATTGCAGCGGATAAAATACATTCTATCAACTTATGCTCATAAAAAACAATTTAAGATCAACCATGAGTCAAGAACTGTTAAATTCCCTGTCGCTGTTATGCATAGAATATAGAAAATAGACTACTTCAGTAGCTTGATTTAGATTCTGTAATTGAAAAACTTGCTATTAAAAAATTTTGAAAAGTTAAACGTCTAATAGTCTAAAATTTCAGTAAATAAAAAATCCTTTAAACTCAGAAAATCTGCAATATCATTAAAGAAATATTTTTTAATTATAACATCAATTTAATAGTTTGTTTGATTTTTAAAATTTTTTGTTTCATTAAAAATTATTCTTAACAGTAAATATTTTTAAAACGATTTTAACTAAATTGATGTATTAAAGTTATAAAAAGAAACATTTCCTATCTTTGCTGTCGCATTACAGCTACATATTTATTTATATTTTGTAATTTATTTTTTTAGATAGATTGTAAACCTGCTCCAAACCTGCAGCCTCAGGCCCACCTGACCCTTAATATGGTCCTGATATTTGGATAGTATTTTTTTTAAAGTGAAATATGATTAGATAATTTTAAATTATGACAAATATGCAATATTTAATTGAAAATTATCTTACTACTAATTAGTAGTAACATAATTTTCAATCAAATATTGCATATTTGTGATAATTTTAACTGCACTACAGCTGCATAGTTTGTGCAGCCGTGGCGAAGCCTTCAGTCGTGCGCATCCTTCAGCCGTGGCACAGTCTTCTTCAGATCCTTTTAAAAATAATTTCGACTTAGATTTATCTATGTATTATTCAAAAATAAATAATATTTATATTTATTTTTGATTAATACATATAATTATTCTCATTCTACTCATTCTACTCCACGGTTTTCTTCTTCTTGTGCGGCTGCTATATCCAATCGTAATCATTTTTTTCATCTTTTTCAAAAGAAAAACTCTCTTGAGAACAAACGGCTATTTATTGTTGCAACAAAAACCCCACCTCTGGGCAAGTTTTGCGACATCAGTTGGGAAAGAGGCGTGAACTTCCTATTAAATGCTCTTCCGCGGTGCTCTGTGATAAGACCGTAAGGACTTCTTGGGGCACCTAAAATCAACATGAAAAAAAAAAATTGATGTAAAAAGGTGCTTTCTGATCCTAAACTCCATTATTCTCAGTTCACTAAATCTCGCATCTTATCACAGTAGTTAGGCTCTAAAGACTTTTGGAAAATCTTCAACAGCATTATGAAGAAGGGTAGATCTAACATTCCATCTCTCATTCATGGGACTGATCTTATTACCTCTCCCAAGGATAAGGCAGAACTATTTGCAAAGAAATTTTCTTTTAATTCCACTTTTGAATCTTATGGACATTCTCTTCCTACCATTCCAGTCAAACAGGTTGACCCATTGTTAGACATTCAAATCACTCCGGCTTCTGTTGCTAAAGTCATATCTCAATTAAACTCGTCTGCAGCTTGTGGTCCAGACAACATTCCTGTCACAGTCTTGCAGAATTGTTCTACAGAACTTTCTTCAATTCTCTCTAAACTATTTAACAAGTGTTTGACTGAGTCTTGTTTTCCTGCTTGTGGGAAAATGGCATCTGTGGTGCCAATATTCAAAAACTCTGGAAAAAATTCTGACCCCTCCAATTGAGTATTTGATCAACAAATTCCTCACATCTCATCCTGAGTCAAAAAAACTATTGTCAGACAATCAATACAGTTTTCGATCCTCTCGCTCTACGGCCGACTTGCTAACTGCTGTAACTGAAAGATTTTATCGTGCATTAGATGGAGGCAGTGTGGCTAGCGCTATTGCTCTCGACATATCTAAAGCTTTTTACAATGTTTGGCATCCTGGTCTTCTCCATAAGCTTGCTTCATATGGTGTTTCTGGGAAAGTTTTTGAGATTATCAAATCATTTCTTTCTAACCGGTTTATTAAAGTCATCCTTGAAGGCCAACACTCTTCTTTGTTTCCAGTAACTTCTGGGGTTCTCCAAGGTTCCATCCTAGGCCCTGTTTTGTTTCTTTTCTACATAAACGATCTTCCTGACAACTTTTCATCTAAAGTAGCTCTTTTTGCTGATGACTCAACTTTATACTCCTGTCTTGACAAAAATTCTTCTCTTTTCGATCGCCTAGAACAAGCAGCTGATCTTGAATCCGATCTCACTTCAGTAATAGATTGGGGTTCACAGTGGCTTGTGAATTTCAACTCTAACAAAACCCAGTTGTTTTCTGCAAACAACTAACGTAATATGGTCAACATTCCTATATTAATGAATGGCAATCCTCTTACTGAGTCCTCCTCTTT